TATACCTAACCCTGAATTGTACTCCACAATTTTAAAATTAAAAGAATTTTAAAAATTTTAAAAAAAGAAATTTGAAAACTTGCTTATATATAAGACATAGCCACTTATAGGACAGGATCATTTAAGGGCCACTAAAATGAGACAAAATTACTGTACACTTACATTTCTTTCCTTTTTATTTTTATTATAAAATACTTCAAACATAGTCAAATATAAAAAGGACAATATAATGAACCCTCATGTACTCATCATACAGATTAAAAAATTATCACCATGTTACATTTTCTTTTTCAATTATAACTACCCTACTCAAATTTTCTAGTAATGTTGTTTTGTTGGAGTAATAATCATTCAAATGTGAATTGGTTAATCACATTTGAGCAATCAAAGCAAATATCATGCCACCAGGCAGGATAAATATACTTAGTAACTCTTTGGAAATGTTAGTAAGATACTCACATTTTTAAAACCTCATTTATTTCCATTATAATTAGAGACTTAAAATATTTGGTTATGTTGCCATTTAATAAAGGAGTTCCTTGTTCTGTTTACCTCAATGTAGGGATAAATGGTCATAATGGTTTTGTACCTATAACTGATTCTCTGCACCTAACCATGCGTATCCCTAACTATTAGCTTTGTATAGCTGTTCCATTATATTTACTCATTTTTTTTCAATATCTGCAAATTCAATGCAGGATTATATAATTATATCTATCTTCATCTACAGCCTAAGTTATCCCTTGTTCCAAGTTTTTGAGAAAGTGATATGTGGAATTTTGTCTGATAAGATTACTCTGATCATTTTTGTCCTATTAAATTGTACTTCCATTGGAAAGATTGCAGTGATTCTTGGATTGGTACTACCTCTCAAAATATTATTTAGTTCTCTATCATTCCTCTACTACAAAACCATTAATATGCTGAGAAATTCAACTATTCACTCTTGAGACTGGCCACAGAAAAGTGAAAAATGTGTAATTGGCTACAGAAAACTTTTCTTGCTATGATTGAAATGAGTGGAGAATTTTATTAAATGTTTCATATTTGCACTTTAAGGACAATGAAATCAATATATAATTTTTAATAGGATCAATAAAGCATTAAAAATCATTCATGGCTACCTCAAATTGATATTAAACTTGGAATTTTAGGTGCATACTGAAATTGTCAAATTAAGAGCCTTTTTCACTATAAATCTTACTCTCTTGGCAAATGCATAAAATCGCCTATATGGACTGAATTTGTCACTTGGCACATATTAGAAGGCAATGGCTACTATTAGGTCTGAAAAACTGTTCATTATTGATAGTCAAATGCTAACAATTTCACCTCTAATTTCTGGAATCCAATTATAGCTCTCTCAGTTGACAAAACACTGGTTAATTCCTTTAGACCAGTGGTTCCCAGACCCTTTTTTTTTCTTACCAAGGCATACATGAGGCATCATATTCAAAATTTCCACATACCTCTATCAGTTCCAATCACTCCCTAAGGCCAGCACCATAAATAAAAGAAACTATCAGTTATGCGAGTACCTAAACCTCTACTCAGTGAAATTCTATCCCTTTCTGTTCTACTGATCTAGATGTGAGTTGAGTAACTCTGACTCAGATGGTATCCACAATAAACATAAACAATGTCAATCGAAAGAGGGGGCCACCTGTAGGAAAGCACTTCAGGGAAATTGGGAAATTCTACTACCCCTAAAGTATTCCTTTACAATTTGTGGACTGTTGCATGAAATCATGCAGAGCTTTGTTTAAAAGCAAATAGACTGTCAGCTGAGAGGACCTAGAAGCAACAACACCCCAGCAGCAGCAAAAGCACACCTAGCAACAAAATCTTGGTTTCTTATTTTTTTTTTTTTTGAGTTGGAGTCTCACTGTCACACAGACTGGAGTGCAGTGGCCGCTTCCCACCACCGCAGCCTCAACCTGCTGGGCTCCGGCGATCCTTCCGTCTCAGCCTTCCAAGTAGCTGGAATTACAGGCGTGCACTATCACGCCCGGCTAATTTTTTTGATTTATTGTAGAGATGAGGTCTCACCAGGTTGCCCAGGCGGGTCTTGAACCCACGGGCTGAGGCAATCCACTCACCTCAGCCTCCCAAGGCACGGGATTACAAGCTGAGCCACCGAGCCCGGCCAAATCTTGGTTTCTAATACTATTATCCATTTTTTAAAAATCAGGGCTCCTTGGAAAAAAATGGCTGTTTCCATGAGTGGGGCAGGAAATATACAAGATATTCCTGTAACATCTTTCAATAATGTAAGAAAATACTTTTAAAAAACCAAAATGCAAGAATGGAGTTATATCAAACGAACAAGTGAGTCAACTGGAAGAGCTTCTAATGGGCAAAGATAAAAGAATTTGAGCAAAAAACCCAAAAAACCCCCCACAAAGCAGTATTGTACTACAAGCCAATATATAATATAAATATCCAAGAGTCCATACTGATATAAATAAATAATTGAATAAATGAATAAGGGAGAGAGATAAGACAAATCTCCCATGTAAAACAATTACAAATGATTTATGTAGGCATTTCTTCTTAAGGGTAGACTCTGAATGTTGACTTTCTCTCAAAAACTACAGTATGGAAAGGAAGAACAAAAGAGTAACTTTACCATGGAGAAAAACAAGCACTACTTCAATTCAGGTAATCAAGGTCAACGTCAACAGTGATAAGTCATATTGATACTGAATACCCTTGATACAATGTAATGAGAATAGTGTTTTACCTTTGTCATCTTTTTCCCAAAATCGTATTACCCAACTTTAACCATGAGAAAACTATCAGATAAACCCCAGTTGAGGGACATCCTACAAAACCTCTGACCAGTAAACCTAAAACTGTCGAGGTAATCAAAAACACAGAAAGTCTGAAGAACTGTCACAGCCAAGAAAAGCTTAAGGAGACATGACAACTAAGTGTGATATGGTATCAGAGATGGGATGTTACAGCATAAAAATGACACCGAGGAAAAATGGAGGAAACGTGAAGAAAGTATGGACTTCAGTGAATAGTAATGTACCACTACTGTTTCATTAATTGTAACAAATGAGAAATGCACCATAATCACATAAGATGTTAATAAAATGGGAAAGCTGGGTGTGGGGCATATAGGAACCCTCTGTACTATCTTTGCAATAATTCTGTAAATCTAAAACTTTTCTAGAATTTTAAAGTTTATTTCAGATAAAATAGTGGCTTTCTATTACAGCACTTTTTGTAGGGCTAAAAAACTGGAAACAAAGTGTATGCTCATCAATAGGGAAATGATTGACTAAACAGTGTTATCATAAAATATTAAGCAACATAGGATATTATATACTTAAAAGGATGAGTAAGCATTCTATCAATTGACTTTGAGAGGTTTCTACTGTATATTTATACTACAAAAAATTGATAATTCTCTTTGTATTTTGTAAAACAATGAGGAGAAAAATCCCCATGTAAATATGCTGGCATAATTAAGAGAGCAGAGAAAATGTATGTAAGAACACATACTAAGTTGTTAATATTGCTAGGAGCAGAGGAATGAGGTTAGAGAAAAGAAGGGAAAAAGATGAAGGTAACAAGGCAGGATATAAGCAAGGCTGGGGAAGTAGCAATAATTTGCTTAATAATTCATTACAAACTTAGCACCTGAAATATAGTGGACTGGTGCTTTGAAAATAAAACTTTAAATTTGTAAAAGCCACAAACAAAAAGCAAATAGGGTTATGTGGAGGAAAAGAGAGATATTTTCTACTGGTATGTTTTGATGAGGGTTGGGGATGGAGAGAGTGCAAGCAGAGAAAGAGTAGCAGCCCCCTAGAGAATATACTGTCAGTCATTAAAGCCAAAGTACACCTACTACTCAGTTTTGCCAAGAGCTGCCAGTAGGAGAAAATATCGTTTATCACTGAGTGTGATCAGAATTATTGCTCTTCTGCCAAGCTCCTGGGGATTTTGCCTACCACAAACAGGTAATCAACTCACCATTTTCTCCCCCAAACACTCCAGTACCACCAGACACAAAAGTGATTCTTAGAGCATCTCAAAGGCGCTCTATTTTTATACCACCTTGCTCTCCTGGCCTTTTGAACAATGAGACCTCGCTAAGGGCTTCTGAGTGTTTTTGATGAAGAAGTGACATAGCTTTGGCATCAAAGTCCACAGGATACAAAAATAGGAAAGGTCTCCATTTCCAAGAAGTTAAAATCAAATAGTACAGTGCAGGTCCCTGGTGAGCAAGATCAGAGACTGCCAAAATGGCAGAATTGAAAGGTGACTTAAAGGGCATCTCAGCTACCTACTTCAATACTTAATCCAGTCTCTGAGGTGCTAGATTTTAGATCCTACCACTAAGGTAGAGGGGGAAGGTAGGTCATATTGTAGCGTCCCTAAGTAAAAAACAGATTGCCTTTTATTGTAAACTTCTTGCAAGCAAGAATTGTGTCTGTGATATATTCCCAGTATTGTACCCAGAAATTCAGAATAACTATGTGTTTATGTTGAATATTTAGACACAGTGGGCTCAAACTCGCATTGTCAATTCTACGAAGGATTTCACCAGTTGCACATTTACTAAGAGATCTCCCAGCAGCATTTCAAGCTATTTTCCATCAACAAGAAAGGTGAGGCCTTGGCCTAAATGATACTTTAAGTCATTTTCATGGCTACATATCAAGATCATTGAGCCAAATAGCTGTATGCCAAAAATAATTATTAATATAAGACCCTGGGTGGAATTGAAGAAGAAACAAGTCACAAAATGTTCTAAATTAAGTAAGCATACACAGCAAATTGGAATTATATTTTATAAAAATCTAATAAGAATTTGTGGTGTCATTGTCCCAGTAGATAATTAGAATTGAATTTACTGAGGCTCTACATGCACTGCAACCTTCAAGAACATATCTGCTGTGCCACGTGAAGCACACCTGCACACAGTCCAGTCCCAATCAAGACTATCAGCCTATGATTGAACAATATTTTTACACAACACTCACCTTAAAACACAAGTGTAGAATCCACTGTCTTGTGCCTCAGCTGAGTGAAACCATATTGAGTCTTCCTCTTTGCTCATCCTGACCTCTGAAAAGATGATGGGCTCTTCCAAATCACCTTTGTTTTTGTACCACATAAGCCTGAGTCCAGTACTCTGGGCCATGCTATAGTTGGTGCGAATATAACTGTAGAAAAGGGCACATTTCACTCGAACTGGTTCACCCGCCAAAGCCATGTATGTCTTAAGATCCACTGACCAATCAATGCAGCCATCCACTGAAAGAAAACCAGAAAAGGCATAAGATGCAGTGAGTATTATTGGTAACAATGGTAAAAGGAGTAATCATTGCCAATATGTACAGAGTCAAGTGCTTTACATAGATTACTTCATTCAGTCTTCCCAGTGACCCTATGAGACAGACTAGGACATCACTTAGATTTTAGCAAGCAGAGCCATTGGTCTAGCTCTGTGATTTTGGGGTGTTTTCCAATCTTTTGTAGCAATCATATGCTCCAGGTAGACCAGATTCTCCAAGGAATTCCAGCACTCTTGCCTATAAGATTGTCCTTGGACACCATGACCAAACTCCAATGCCAGCAGAGTGGCCTTGCAAGTGGTTGGCTACTGCCAGTCATGAAGTATTTCCTTCACATCATCATGTGAAATTGGACTGTTAGAATGACACTGATATGTTGGCATTAGGTAACTCAAATTGTTATATAGGCAAAAGCCCCACAAAACAAATATTTCCAAGAGATCTCTGTACAACCTAGAAGCAGCCCTGAGATTAATGCTTTTCTTCTTATTTTACAGACGAGGACACTTAGACACAGAGAAGTTAATGACTTTGCCCAAGGTCACACAGCTAACAAGTGGTAGAAAACCAGTCTCTGATTCCAGAGACTGTGCTCTTAGCCTCTACCCTATACTACCTGTGCCTATAATTGTGACAAAGACAATCATATTATTTATTTGCCTTTAGGAAAATAAATGCAGGGATTGGAAACAGTGGGCACCTAAAGTGATTATTTGCTATTATATACAGGCCAGTTTTCCATGGTATGACCTATTAATAGCAGATATTTAATCACAAGTTGATTTCTCTTTATACCTTTGGGCCTCCCTTACTGCTTAGCTGGTGTGTGCTCATGGGAATATATTATATTAATGTCAGCTTTAATCAACTAATATTAGGTGGATAAATCTACCATTAAAGAAAGACATAAATTCCTTCTTTCCCAGAAGAGTTAAGAATGAGATGTTATGGCTAATTTCATATACTAGTCAATATAATTAGCTTATCGTCAAAGAATTTCATCAAACTATGCTATATCCCTTTATATTACTTGATTATCCTTTATAAAATAATCATTTCATAAAATGTATAAATACTGCTATTTTAAAGGCATATGTTTCCCTAATAATTTTGTGAACTGATCTGATGTTGAAAACTGCAAACCTAGTGTGTTTAATCTCATAACCTCAATCGACAGGAAGTTCAGAGCAAAATGCAATGCCAAGTGTAATAATTATCTTACCTCGGGATTTCACATTCTCTATATGAGGGGTTTTTGAACTGGAGTTCAAGGTCACCCGGGGGAGGGTACTGCGTAGGTTTCAAGGATGTTGACAAAAGCAATATGTCTATTTACATAGATATATTTTGCTGGGGAGATTTTCCAAAGCTCTTTATCAGGTCTTCTTTATCAGGAGTGTATGGCCCAATAAAGTTTTTAAATTATGTGGTTTCTGATCTCTCTTTCTGACTTCATTTATCACTGCCCTGCTGCATGTGGGCTTCATACTCTGCCTTAATTTCTCTTATAGTATGTATAGTATGTCTCTTATTTATTATTTTTATTTTAAAGATGTGGGGTACAATTCAGAGTTAGGTATACAAATGGTCTTTATGCATGTACCCTTGCTGATGAGGTGTGCCCCCTCCTCCCCTGGCAGATTCCCACTACTGCCAACCCCGTCCCCACCCCTCTTTTGGCAGTTTCCCACTACTGCCAATCCTTTTCTTATATTATGATAGTTGTTCAAGGTTCACTTATAAGTGAGAACATGTGATACTCCGTGAGGTATTCTTTAAAAATAAATAAACAAGATCAAGTGTGGCGTCTTACACCTATAACCCCAGCACTTTGGGAGGGCAAGGCAGGAGAATTGCTTGAAACCAGGGGTTCTACACATGCCTGAGCAAAACAGTGAGACCCTTGTCTCTATTCTTAAAAAGTAGAAATAAACAAACAGACAAATAAATAACTCCCTTTAAATTTATACTGATGGGCATTGGAATTTTATTTGAGAATTCAGAGGAATCAGATTTATCACAGAGGATTTTGGCAACTGTTGTGCACTGTTAAAGCCAGGAAGTTACAGTGGATTAGACTGAATATGTGTTGATCACTGGCTCTCTTGGGAATCTTTTTATTCATTCCTTGATATTGGCTTTATACCTGTCATTTGTCACTCACATAACTCTCAATAATGGAGGAAAGGAAACTTGCATTAGTTGAACCTTTGGGGTCATCGTAAATTTCTAGTGATACATCTCTGGATTAGATGCAATTTTAATATTTATTTTATCATTTTGAATGAATTTTATATTATTTGTTTTTTATGGATTATCTGTAACACTGTTCCCATGCATTAACACAAGTAAGAGGTAACTATATAAATATTTTTTAGAAACTATGTATATTCTTATAGCTTTATTTTAAAAGTTGATTAATAGAAACAAGGAACATATGGGGACAATTTTTTTAAAACTCTTTAATATTTCAGTTTGTTTTCCTCTAACCCTAAGATGTACAGCAAATGCTTTTGAATTAACAAATTGGACTTAGCAAAATAGCCTCAAGTCATTATCTACTTGATTTTATAAAAATTGGAATTTTTTTTCCATTTGCTCCCTAAATCCTCTGAGTTACCTCCTCTAAATGGTCTGTTGTATGAGCCTACACCTCTACAATGTTAACAGTCCATTCGTGATGGGACATGGTTGGTATTGAAAGTAATCAAAATACTGGTTCCTGAGTCATGGCAAAAAATGTTCAATGGCAGTTTAAGACATTTAATTGCCATTGCAATTAGTTTTATTATACAGACCTAAAGACTACGCTGAGAATTCATTTCCTTTTAAATATGTCCGAGCAATATATATATTGACTTACTATATTTATGGTTCCTTTTTGCCTGTTCTTTAGCTTTGGGTATCAAAGAGGGAATATTTAGTTATAAGGTAGTCAATGACCAGAGAACAGAAATGCAATAATGAGAAAAATAATTTCTAAACGTTATCCCTTTTCTTTCCCCTTCATATTCACAGTATAAGGTTACATCATAAGGTATTTCAAGAGACTTGAGGGAAGTTTCCCATAAAATAGACCAAAAGTATGATAGCAGGGATCCACCAAGGCCTATGCATCTCCAAATATTTTTCCTCACCAAACTTAGATCAGTAGAAATAGATTTCTATCAGCTAAAGTATTATAGCCTTATATCTAAAAAGTATCAGACCACTACTAGATTCCAACTAGATGGTATGATTTATTTTTATTGAATTGCTATTTTTAGCAATCTAAGAGTGGAATAAGAGGGGATGGAATAGGATACTGTGTATCTAATTTTAGATTTGGGACTAGTGATACAACTAAGAAGTAAATACTGAGATATGACACCTGAAAAGTCAGGTGACAAATCAGCATAAAGGGATTGAGCATCTTGAGGTTAAGAGGGAAGAGCTAAGAGGTGTCAGAGGGTCACAAAAAGGCTAGAAGAGGTGAAAGGTCACATATAGTTGAATTCACCAAATGCCATTAAAAGTTACAAATGCAAATCACATTTCTGGAGTTTGTAATAACATGCCATATTTACAGAGCCCTTTGCATGTTAACTTTCCATACATATTTGGCAAATGACTGAATGAATAGATCTGTGATGCAGCTGCCAACGATGCCAGGCTATGACCAAGTTGGAGACATAGTAGAACTGAGTATCCCACTAAGGGAGACAACCTGTGAGCTTGACCTTATCAGCACAAACCTCCAACCCATGAAGCTATTCAGCCCTTTTTTGTTCACAACTCCAGTGGCCTCTGTTTAAGCAAGCTCCCTGCAGGGTTTCTGAGAAAAGCATTTTCTGCAGAGAGGTTGGCATCTCCCACAGGTGATTTGATAACTGGGTCTCACTAACCGGCCACAAATGTAAATGGAGGCACTGCAGGAAAGGAGACACTTTTCCCCTCCCTCCAAATAGTGAAATTCTATAGTTGGACTGAAACTTGCTACAGAGCAAACCCATTGAAAGTATATGTGAGTACATGTCTGCCCTCTGCTTCACAATCACTCAGTATGGTTATAAATATACCTGTCTTTCCACTTGAAAATATCTCCTATTTCTGCATTATCCTTTCTCTGCTCACTCGAGTCTTATGAATAGCAATTCAAGTACTTAAAAGAACAATTTTGTGTGTTTTTTTTAAAGATTTTCCTCTCTACTCCATTGATTTAGATTTCTATAAGGCTCACAAAATTATTACTCTTGGTTTCGTCTTGTGGCCAGGAATGCTTTTAATATCTGAGCTCCCAAAACAATTATAATAAAGTGAAGGAAATCACTTATTTAAAATTCAGGTCTCTATTTTAATCATTTTCATTCCAATCTGCAAAGAAAATGTATGCTTCGAAAGTTTGACATGAAAATTCAAAAGAAGAAGTGCATAAAGGGGTATGCCAGCATTCACACAATTTATTTTGCTAGGAGGATATTCCTAGGGATAAAAACTAATGATGTCCTCTACAAAGTGCCCTGGATAACCTGAGCAAACCCATTTAGCCTTTTCATAGATAAGCCTCCCGCTTCTGTTTGCAATACAATCGGGACAACAAATCCTGCTACACCCACCTTCTGTAAAAACAAAACCCTGTGAAGAGTTTATAAATCCCCATAATAGAATAAGATGTTATTATCAACAATGGTTATAATATTATTTTAGAAAAGAAGAATATTGAGTGCAGTAAAATTAGGCTCTAATGGTTATATTAGACATTATCATTTGTTATTGGGTATAGAATTGCTGATTCTGCCCCAAATTGGAAATTCCCTGCTGGATAAAATGTCTAATTAGCACATGAGAAAATTTGCAAGTTCTAGATACCTCGATGATGTTTGTTGCTGCTTAAGTTCTTTACCGAATATGTACCCCACAATAGTTTATTATGTGTTTATGATTAACAAGTCCATTTGTTAAACCAGGTGTTTTACTATG